CAAGTATCATTCTTGTAAACCTACATGGTACTCCCTCCATGGCCAATATATCCTCCTTCAGGTGCGGTGCCCCAGATCTTCTCGCAGTACTCCAAGTGGGTTTTAACTAGGATTTTGTATAGCTGCAGCATAGCTTCTGCATCCTTATTTTCCAGTCCTCTAGATATAAAGGCCTACATTCCATTTGCCATCTTGATTATTTTCTGCACTTGTTAGTGATATTGCAAAGACCTATTCGCCTGAACCCCCAGGTATTTAACTTCATATCATCTAGAAAGTAGAACATGGGTAACTTCATACTTGCTTACTTTGAACTCCATCTGCCACAGTTTTACCTATTCACCTAGTCTATCAATATCCCTTTTAAATTTTATTCTTTTATTTATATTGTGTACAGTGGTGCCTAATTTTGTGACATCACCAAATTTTAATTTATGATTTTCTATGCCGTTATCCAAATCACAAGTAACTAATGTGAATAATTGAGGCCCTAACACAGGTCCTTGTGGGTCGACTCCTCACATCCTGCCAATTTGAGTACCTACCCATTATCCCTACTTTTCTATTGCTTGCCACTCAATAAATTTCCTGGCATGCCAGAGAATTTGCCCTCAAATCCGTGGACTTCTACCTTAATTAATAACCTCTTATGTGACACTGTATCAAATGACTTCTGGAAATCCATATAAACGACATCCATAGACATTCTCCTGCCCACTACCTTAGTCGCCCCTTCAAAAAAATCATTGAGGTTTATCAGACTTGATCTACCTGTCATGAATCAATGCTGGCTCTCCCTGATTAGCTGAAAATGTTCAATTCCCCTTTCTTGATTTATAGATTTCTAGACATCAATTTTCCACCACATACTAAATCTTTATTCTGCACCACCACTGATATCCAATCCTTTCAAATCTGTTCCTGATCTTTTCTAAAACACTCATAAGATGTAAGAGTTGCTGTGTTCTAGGTTAGGGAGGGATTTCCAGCATTTGACATAGCGGTAATGAAGAAACAGTGATATAGTTCCAAGTCAAGATGTTGTGCAGCTCGTGTAGTATAAAGGTTTAATTCTAACTTCATCAGAAGTGTACAGCAACACAGGAAGTGATGCAACATCACATGGTCTTGCTCTCTTTCATACCTTATGGTGGATGTAACCCACAGTTAGCTTCAGTAATGTTGATGCTTTCCTCTTCCTTAAGCAGAGTCTGTAAATATTCTCTACTAGCCGAAGAATCAGTTCTGAAGAAGAATCATACCATTCCTGAAAAATTAACTTTTATTTCCCTCTCCATAGATGCTGCCATACCAGCTGAGTTTCTCGAGCATCCTCCATGGTTGTTTCAGATTTCCGGCATCTGCAGTAATTTGCTTTTATTCAGTCACTGGATGCTCATTATGAGTCTTGGGGATGAATTCCAGTGACTGTTATTGCTCAACTAAACTCAGTCAACTTAACAGAGAATGTGAATTGTGCAACATTATTTAAAATTTCCAGTGCAGAAACAAGCGACACAATTCTCTTCCCATTGTACTTCAGCATAACGTTACATTTCTTTCTCTCTTATATGATTATCTAGTTTTCCTTTAAGTACACTTATGTTATTCACATAAAGACTCCATCTGAGTTCAAGCTCGACATGCTCACCACGCTCTGGGAAAGAGGTTTCACTGGGTTTGATTTATTGATGACTGTGTTATACCTCTGGCCTATAGCCTTCATCTTTGGCACATGTGGAAACATCATCCTGTGTTGATTGAAATCTTGAGCGAGATTTTTCAGTCTCCCACTGGCCGGTATGAACATGGAGGTTTGTAAAATCCAGTGTGTGGCCTTCCACGACCTGGCCCCTACCTTGTCTCAAACTTCACAGGGTTTGGTATAAATGTTGGGTAGCCTGTCCATCCATGGACCTGTTGAGGCCCTTTGATCAATTAAAGCCGACTTAAAGGAATCATCCTTCCTTGCCAGTATTTTATCCATAGCCAGAAGGCTTATACCATTTGGGAAATCCAAATGCATTAGCTGCTTGCCGGTGGTGTGGGCAAACAATATGGGGGGGAATGGTGCTAGTCTATGAAGCCCCTGTGTTTCTCCATTTTCCTTCCACCCTCTTGTCTCTCAATCATGTCTTTCCCCAGCACTGCCCCCACTCTGGTCACCATTGCCCCAAGTTTGGTCTCTTCTATGTCAAAATTGCCTGTAAAGCCAGCTATGGCCAACACTTTGTATTGCTGGGACAGCAAAGCTGCTGGCCATCCAATTGGCAGGACTTTCTCCTGAGATAGGAGCAGATTCTTATTTAAAGTAATTAATACTAATCCCAGCATTGCTTTGGTGGCTGGGCTTGCCACTTAATAGGCCTGCAAAATCCTGCCTTCTGCGTTGCTCAGCACTGTCATTCAGGGAGCAAAAATTGTCTTGTACAAGTCCCGCTGTCCTTATAGAAGCTTGATTCTTCATGAATAATTCCTGATTGTTGGGTAGTTTGGGAAATTCCTAACTCTTGGGTACTGAATAGGTCTTTGATCTTCATGCTCATGCCCAGTGACAGCAACTTATATAACTTGCGTTTATATTAAATCTTCGTACAAAACACTGGTTCAGCTTGTGTCCAGATCTGTGAAGCACCCTTCAGGAAGTATCTGAAGGCAATAGAGAATACAGAAATAGATTCACAAGAATGGTTCCAGACATGAGGAACCTCAGTTATGAGGAAAGATTGGAGAGGTTGGGATTCTTTTCCTTGTAGGTTGAGAGTGGATTTGTTATAAGTATTCAAACTCAGGAGGAATCCGCCCAGAGTAGTTGGGGTGTAACTGGTTCCATTCATGAATGAAAGGACATTGTTTTTCGTGTCAATCATCTTAAATCAAAGGTGAGATGCATGAAATTTCTTTTATCCAGGAAGTGGTTAGGATCTGTAATGCCTGAGAGTATGGTGGAGGCAGATTCAGTCTTTGTCATTGAAAGAGAATCTTGTTAATTGAAGAGAAAAGGCTTGCTTAGCTACAGAGAAAAGGTGGAAGGGATACTGAGCCAAGTGACTTCTTCAGAGCATCAGCACAGACGCAATGACATAAATGGGTTCCTTCCCACATCTCAACCAATCTCAACAATTTCAATCAAGCAAATTATGACATTGAACCATATAAGGGGTTTTGTGGGAGATGACATAAGCTTCTTCGTAGAGGTTTAAAGTGCCTCTTAAAGGACAAGAAAGAGGTGTAGAGTTTTAGGAAAGAATTCAAGATCTTAGGACTTAGGCTCCCAATGGTGGGGTGATTAAATAAGAGGGATGTGCAAGGGGCCAGAATTGGAGGAGTGTAGGGATTTGAGGGTTGGCAGAAGTTATGGAAGAGCTGTTGAATGATTGAAAAATGATTAAGGAGGCACTGAGAAAATGGAGTCAAGTTTTGAGGGTGGGAGAGGAACTTGAGGCAATTTCAGAAAACTGTTATTTGAATAAAATCTTTCAAGAGAGGGAGGGAGGTGTTCATGCATAGAGAGAATCACAGAAGTCTAGGGACTGGCGGCATAAAGATTGTCTTCCGATAGCTGAGGAGACAAAGACCAAACAGTTTGAAGAGTGGAGTGAGGTTTGCAGGATATTTCTATGCTGTAAATAGTATTCGTTTTACATTTATGTTTCTTCTCAAACTCCAGGAATCTTTTATCTTCGTATTGAATTACTAAAATAAGCCTATTAACCAGAATTTTAAATGTAAGTAAAACATAAATAATTCAAATCATTCTGCAGCATCCAGAAATTATTTTTAAGAATTATGGCCAGTTAATTCCAGTGTACAGAAAACCAGCAATGATACTTTGAGATTCACAACTAGTTACCTTAATTTTTCTGTGTTTATAGGAGGTGTTTAAATCGTTCACACAGACTCACCATCAATAGGCACTGAGTAAGATTAAGGTTTGAATATCTGGCACCAGTACAAGAAACATCCTTTTGGTTGTTTCAAACATTCATCTTAAATAAAGTCTTTTGTATATCTCTTGCACAGCCTAAACATTGCTAAGATATGTGCCACAGATTTTTACAATGCTACATGTTGCCTTTTACAATCTGAAGCATGAGAGTGGCAACTATTTGTTATCTGATGATCCTCTGAAACAAAATTGCCTAAAATAAAAACTGTTAGGATTCACGAGGAAAATTCTCTGCTTTTTAATCACATACTTGGTAAATTGCCAACTGTTGCTGGCAGAATGCATCATTTTTAAATAAAAGCATGTATTTATTTTTCATTATGAAAACAAAGTCAAAATTAAAGTAGGCCAGAGTGAATTATCAGTGTTTTTGGGCAATTCTTAGCTGTAATTTTGTCAATAAAGTCACCTTTAAAACAAACATTAGCTTAGGATATATAGAATGAAGAAAATTTTCCAACTATTGATTCTTGTGATAAAATGTAACTTCAAATAGCACATGCAAAATAATTAATTATAAGTTATATTAGAAACCTTAGCCAGTTCCTCATATCAAAGGTATTATCTGCAACCATCATGTAGGAATACCACTCAAATGCTTTTATTTAGAATACAGTGGTGTTTCTCTGATTATTCAATTATGAATCCATAAAGTCTAGAATAATGATCAGCCTTTTATTTGTCCAATGAAAACACAGCTGTTACTTGACCATTTTGTTTAAGCTTCTTTTGTGTTCACACAATCCAACTAGAAAAGTTTGGGAACTGTGAATAAGATGTTAGAAGGCCACAAGTTGCTGGACCCTTGCACTAACTTGTCATCTCTTATCTAGACCTAGGCGGGGATTGGGCTACTATTGTTAGCCTCTGAATCTGAGGGTTTCTTTACCTTAATATTGGTCACTGCAAGAAAGTATTTCTGCATTTGGTATTGGTTGAAGATGTTGTTTGGTTTCCCTTCATTCAGATACAGCATATCAAGTAAGTATCAAATATCAAAAGAAACAATTGCAGATATTGATGGATCTGATTTAATCCTCTTTACTTGCAGGGTGGTGGGGACTGCCCAGAGATGAGTATGGGAGCAATTAAGCGAGCGCTCGAAGTATCCCAACCTAATTCTTTTATCTACGTCTTCACTGATGCCCGGGCAAAAGACTATCAACTGACGAAGGATGTCCTGCAACTCATCCAACTGAAGCAGTCCCAGGTAGGCAAGAAGAGCCAACTAAGATGGCACAAGTCTGCCCCTGAGCGTGCAAAAACAGAGTGAACATTACAATTGTCAGTGTTGATTCAGTGAGTGAGTTACAGATTGACATTTCCTTTCAATGCTTTGCCTGTTGCCTTTCCATGGAACAGTAAAGATTTTTGAGCCACCTTGTGGAAGCATGTCAGTGGGGCTTCGTATTTGCCATCTAAGCTTAGCATGGTAGTAGTTTTGTTGTATTTGCAATATGTCAATCCAGCGCCGTATTTCCTTGAGGTACATGGGTTCCTGGTAAGTGGAGGTGCTTCATGATGCAGTAGGCCTATTCTGAGCCAGAGCCAAGGAGGCTTGAAGAGGTAGCAATGGTTTCCTCTGTGCATGACATATATCAAAACTGTAGTTCCATTCTGTCAAAGTGGGCATATGGGTCCAGATGGAATTATTTCCTCAAGGTGGAAGAATATGGTTGATTTTTAAATAAAAGTAGATGCATCAGTATAAATGTACCAGTCTAATGTACCATTATAAATATGCCTCTGACATTGCTCATTAACAGGTGATGAACAATTCTAGTAAATATGGTGACAATGTATATGGGACAGATTTCAGACGGATTCCATAATGTTGAGTTCTCAACAATTGTTTAAAATAGGATTGGAAAAGGCCACCTAGGGAGCATATGTATTGTGATACATAGGGCATCAAAACTACGTTAGATAGGCTGGTGGGCCTGTCTTGTCAATTACCTTTGTATGATTTTGGAGTTGTTATCATACAAGCTGAACAGGATGTGTTATAAAATTATTTATATTGCATTGTTATGAGACCTGAGACAAATAGCCATGGGAGTGGAGCAAGATTGATGCTAAAATCACTCAGCCTTCAGTCCAAAACATGGTGAAGGGGAAAAAAAGGAGCCAGGTGAGACCCACACCTGAAATCAGCATTGGACGGGCAAATGAGGGGTCTAATTACTATTTTAGGACCCCTTTGTAAAATTGTGTTGGCAGGCACCAGCTATGTTCTGAAAAATGTGACCTACATGAAGATCCCTCAAAGAGACTTCTGCAGGCTACCACCAAAAAAAAACTAAGCATTTAATAAGTAATACTTCTCTAAATTTGCAGAATCACACTGTGCAGGGAATCTCACAGCTTTGCTTTAAAATTGCTAACTTCCAGTGCTGGCTATCCTCCCTCTCTTGATGACTGCATTCTCCTCTGCTTACTCTTCCAATCACTGTCTTTAACTTGCCCTCTGAAATCTGATTTCTGCCCTCCTCCCTCACACAATTGGACTAGTTAGTTTGGGAAAACTGGTCGGCAAGGACAAGTTGGACCAAAGGTTCTGCATGCCTCTATGACAATTGCTACACCCTTCCACCCCACAGCGATGTACTATCTCCTTCTCCCTTCCTCTCATGATTACAGCAGTCTCCATGCCTCACTCCTCCATTTGCAGACTTCCTCCTTCCCTCTCCTGGTTGCTGCCCTTGCTCCCTCGCCCTCCCTCCTTATTGCTGCACCTTGCTCTACCATCTTTCCTCCCTTCTGTCATCTTTCTTCTCCTTGATCTCTTGCAAGTCCAAAGGAACAGGTTTTGAAAGCTTTTGTCTATTTTCTGTTATTTTCAAGCGTTCCTTGCCCATGAGATGTTGAGTATTGTTATGTTAGACTGTTAGTGTGTTGTTGGCAAAAGCTAAACAGATGCTGGAAATAATCAGCAGGATTAGCAGTGTCTGTGGAGAGAGTAAAACAAAATTCTGCTGTATCTGCTGAGTATTTCCAGAGTTTTACTTTTATTTATGATTTCTGGTATTCACAATGTTTTGTCATTTTTTTTGTTTTGAAATCAAACTTATAGGCTCCATTCTAGACAGACATTTCTTTAAGCAAAATGTTTAACTAAACCTAATGTTAATCTAAAGGCTGAGGGGCTTGTGAGAAAAATTAATTGGGAGTCGATTAAAGTGATTGAAACTCTTATCCAAACAGGTTGTGTTTGTATTAACTGGAGACTGTGGGGACAGAGGCCACCCTGGTTATCAAGCTTTTGAAGAGGTAGCTTCAACAAGTTCAGGTCAAATATTTCACCTGGATAAACAGCAAGTCAATGAGGTAAGCAGATGCACCCTTTAGCTGAACTGATCGTTTTCCATGGGGATGTTTCCCAGAAAACCAGGTTAAATGCTTTGAAAAACCTGGATTGTGTTTGTTGTTCTGGATAATGTAATGTATGTTAAATATGTGCCGCTGGACAGTGATCAGGAGCAGAAACCTTGATTGATTTTTCTCTTCCCTAGTCCAATCACATTGCGGGCAGTCGTAAATTCATGAACTATGGTTACCATGGTCAAACCAAAGACCTTGTAGAATTTTAGAGATATTCATCATGGAAGGAATTTTAGAAAATATTGAGCTCTTGTGGCCTTTGTCCATAGCCTGGTTATGGCTTTCCTACTGCTTTTCTAAGTACATTTTAAATATGATCGGCTTTCTGTGTCTACCATCCTTCCAAGCTGTGGTTCCAGATTTCCAACAACTTCTAGGTGAAAACAAGTTCCTCTCAAATTTCCTATAAACCTCCAGCCTACTAGAATATAGGCAGCTCTCAGTCAGAGGCAGTTATTTGACCAGGAAGAGCACACTGATTTCACTTGGTGATCACACAGGCACTTTTCAACAGATTGATCATGAAACCATAATGATGTCCATTGTGGTAATAATCCACTGATTCACTAATATCTTCTCATATTGGAAACTTACTGTCCTTAGCTGGTCTGGCCTATATCTGACTGCAGTGCCCTACCATTCTGAAAGAAAAAAAACTTGCATTTTTATAGCACCATTCATGACCACAGGTCATCTCAAAAGTGCTTTAAATCCAGTAAATTACTTTTGAAGTGTAGTTGTTGTTGTAATGTAGGAAACATACAAATATTTTAATTTGATAATAACCAGATAATTTATTTTATGATGATGGTTGAGGGTTGAATACTGGCCAGGACACATTGTGCCTTTGGATCCTATTTGTCCACTTGAGGGTGCAGATGGGACCTTTGGTTAAATTTGTCATTAAAGGATATCAAGTCTGATGTGTAGCACTTCTCATAACTGCATTGGATTGGTACCATAAGACCATGGGACATAGGATCAGAATTAGGCCATCCGGCCCATCAAGTCTGCACTGCTATTCAATCATGGCTAATATGTTTCTCAACTCAATTCTCCTGCCTTCTCCCCGAAACTGTTGATCCCCTGACCAATGAAGAACCTTAACCACTCAATCCGTAGGCTTACACAGCTTGCTGCACAATGAGTTCCACAGATTAACCACCTTCTGGCTAAAGAAATTCCTCGTCATCTCAATTCTAAATGGTCATTCCTTCACTCTGAGGCAGTGCCCTCGGGTCCTAATCTCTCCTACTATGGGAAGCATCTTCTCCATGTCTGCCTTATCCAGGCCTTTCAGCATTCTGTAAGTTTCAATCGGATATCCCCTCATCCTTCTAACCTCCATTGAATACAGATCCAGAGTTCTCAATTGCTCCTCAGATGACAAGCCCTTCTTTCCCAGGATCATTCATTTAAACCTTCTCTGGACCCCCTCCAATGCCAGTAAATCCTTCCTTAGAGTGACCAAAACTGCTCACAATATTTCAAATGAGAATTGACCAGTGCCTTAACCAGCCTCAGCAGGACATTTCTGCTCATGTATTCTAGCCCACTTGAAATGAATGCTGACATTGCATTTGCCTTTCTAACTGCTAACTGAACTTGCATGTTAACCTAAAGAGTATGAACTAGAACTCCCAAGTCCCCCTGTGTTTCATATTTCTGAAGCCTTTCCCTGTTTAGAAAAAAATTCTATGCCACTATTTCTCCTACCAAAGTGCATAACCTGTCACTTTACCTCATTGTATTCTATCTGCCACTTCTTTGCACACTCTCCTAGCTAGTCCAAGTTCTTCTGCAGCGTTCCCACTTCCTCAACACTGTTTGCCCCTCCATCCATCTTTGTGTCCTCTGCAAACTTAATTGCAATGCTTTCAGTTCCTTCCTGAGTAGTCCCAACATGGACCCCTGCAGAACTCTACTAGTCACTGGCTGCCATCCTGAGAAAGACTTCTTTATTCCTATTCTCTGCCTTCTGCTAGTCAGCCGTTCCTCTATTCATGCCAGTACGTTACCCCTAATAGCATAGGTTCTTATCTTGTTTAGCAGCCTCTGAGCGGCATCTTGTCAAAGGTCTTCTGGAAATCCAAATATATCATGTCCACTGGCTTTCCTTTGTCTAACCTGCTGGTTACCTCCTCGAAGAATTCTAACAGATTTGTCAGGCATGACCTTCCCTTGATGAAGCTGTGCTGAGTCAGCCATATTTTACCATGCACTTCCAAGTACTCCATGGTGTCATCCTTAATAATGGACTCTAGAATCTTACCAACAACTGAGGTCAGGCTAACCAGCCTTTAGTTTCCTGTCTTCTGCCTCCCTCCCTCCTTAAACATTGTTGTCTTCTGGGACCCTCCCTGACTCCCCATGGTAGGCTATTGCAGAAAATACGGAGGCATGGGATTGAGGGTGATTTAGCGGTTTGGATCAGAAATTGGCTAGCTGTAAGAAGACAGAGGGTGATGGTTGATGGGAAATGTTCATACTGGCGTTCAGTTACTAGTGGTGTACCTCAAGGATCTGTTTTGGGGCCGCTGCTGTTTGTCATTTTTATAAATGACCTGGATGAGAGCGTAGAAGGATGGGTTAGTAAATTTGCGGATGACACCAAAGTCGGTGGAGTTGTGGATAGTGTGGAATGGTTGTTGCAGGTTACAGAGGGACATAGATAAGCTGCAGAGCTGGGCTGAGAGGTGGCAAATGGAGTTTAATGCAGAAAAGTGTGAGGTGATTCACCTTGGAAGGAGTAACAGGAATACAGAGTACTGGGCTAATGGTAAGATTCTTGGTAGTGTGGATGAGCAGAAAGATCTCGGTGTCCATGTGCATAGATCACTGAAAGTTGCCACCCAGGTTGATAGCGTTGTTAAGAAGGCGTACGGTATGTTAGGTTTTATTGGTAGAGGGATTAACTTTCAGAGCCATGAGGTCATGTTGTAGCTGTACAAAACTCTGGTGTGGCCGCACTTGGAGTATTGTGTACAGTTCTGGTCACCGCATTATAGGAAGGATGTGGAAGCATTGGAATGGGTGCAGAGGAGATTTACCAGGATGTTGCCTGGTATGGAGGGAAGGTCTTATGAGGAAAGGCTGAGGGACTTGAGGCTGTATTCGTTAGAGAGAAGAAGGTTAAGAGGTGACTTAATAGAGACATTCAAGATGATCAGAGGATTAGATAGGGTGGACAGTGGGAGCCTGTTTCCTCGGATGGTGATGGCTAGCACGAGGGGACATAGCTTTAAATTGAGGGGTGATAGATATAGGACAGATGTCAGAGATAGGTTCTTTACTCAGAGAGTAGTAAGGGCGTGGAATGCCCTGCCTGCAAAAGTAGTAGATTCGCCAACTTTAAGGGCATTTAAATGGTCATTGGATAAACATATGGATGATAATGGAATAGTTTAGGTTAGATGGGCTTCAGATTGGTTTCACAGGTCGGCGCAACATCGAGGGCCGAAGGGCCTGTACTGCACTGTAATGTTCTATGTTCTATGTTCTATGTTCCAGTGATTCCTGATAGATCTCTCCTCAGCTATCTCAGAAATCTGAGGTGTAGTCCATCTGGTCCAGGTTATTTATCCACCTACAGACCTTTCAGTTTCCCCAGCACCTTTTTAGTGATGGCTACTAAATTCACCTCTGTCCCCGACTGTCTTGAAGTTCTGGTATGCTGTAGGTGTATTCCACTGTGAAAACTGACGCAAAGTACCTATTCAGTTCCTCCACCATTTCTTTGTTCCTTATTACTACTTCTCCAGTCTTACTTTCCATGGTCCAATGTCCGCACTTGCATCCCTGTTACTTTTTAGATATCTAAGAAAAAATCTTGCAATCCTCTTTTGTATTACTGGCTAGTTTGCTCTCACATTTTGTCTTCTTCCTCCCGCAAACCCCACCCCCACCCCCAACCCCGGCCTTATTGCTTTATTTGATTGTCCTCTGCTGGTTTTTAAAGGCTTCTCAACCCTGTGGCTTCCCACTAATCTTCATCACATTGTATGCATTTTCATTTGCTTTTATGCTGTTCCCTGACTCCCCATGTCATCCATAGTTGTCTTGTCCTCCACTTAGTATGTTTCTTTTTCCTTGGGATGAATTTCAATTATGCCTCCCGAATTACCCCCATAAACTCTTGCCATTGCCTCTGCCATCTTCCCTGCTTTGCTCCCCTTCCAATCAATTCTGGCCAACTCTTTCCTCATATGTTTGTGGTACCATTTTTTCAATAGTAATACCGTTATATCTGATTCCAGCTTCTCCATTTCAAACTGCAGGTTATTTCTATCATATTACGATCACTTCCCCTTAGGGGTTCCTTCACGTTAAGCTCTCTAATCAAGTCTGCCTCATTACACATCACCAATTCCAGAATTGTCTGTGCCGTCGTGGGTTCTACCACAAGCTGCTCCAAAAGACCATCTCGTACACATGCTACAAATTCCTTTTCTTGAGAACCGCTACCAACTTGATTTTTTCAATCCACTTGTATACTGAAGTCCCCCATGATTATTGTAATAGTGCCTTTCTTACACGCCTTTTCTATCTCCTGATTTATTTACCGTCCCCCCCCACCAATTCTGACTGCTGCTAGGAGGCCTGTACACAACTCCAATCTGGGACTTTTTTCCTTTGTAGCTCCTCAACTCTACCCACACAGCTTCTATGTCTTCTGACTCAATATCACTTCTTGCTATTGATTTATTTAATTTCTTATTAACATAATTTCTTATTATCAAGACAATCCTGTGCTCTCTGCCCATTTGTCTGTCTTTTTGATAAGATGTGCATTCTGGGATGTTTAGTTCCCAGTCCTGATCCCCTTCAGCTACATCCCTGTGATACCAAACACACTATACCTGCCAATTTCAATCTGTGCTACAAGCTCAATTATCTTGTTTCGTATACAGTGTGCATTTAAGTCCAACACCCTATGTCCTGCATCG